TATTTGACCTTTGGTTAAACCTTTATCTGACCTTTAGTTAAACCATTAAACCTTTATTTAACCTTTATTTGACCTTTGGTTAAACCTTTATCTGACCTTTAGTTAAACCATTAAACCTTTATTTAACCTTTATTTGACCTTTAGTTAAACCTTTATCTGACCTGTAGTTAAACCATTAAACTTTATTTAATCTTTATTTAACCTTTATTTGACCTTTGGTTAAACCTTTATCTGACCATTAGTTAAACCATTAAACCTTTATTTAACCTTTATTTGACCTTTATTTAAACATTTATTTGACCTTTAGTTAAATCTTTATCTGACCTGTAGTTAAACCATTAAACTTTATTTAACCTTTATTTAAACTTTTATATGACCTTTAGTCAAACCTTTATCTGACCTATAGTTAAACCATTAAACCTTTATTTAACTTTTATTTGACCTTTATTTAAACTTTTATTTGACCTTTGGTTAAACCTTTATCTGACCTTTAGTTAAACCATTTAACCTTTATTTGACTTTTATTTGACCTTTAGTTAAACCTTTATCTGACCTTTAGTTAAACCATTTAACCTTTATTTAAACTTTATTTGACTTTTATTTAACAATTATTTGACCTTTATTTAAACTTTTATTTGACCTTTAGTTAAACTTTTATTTGACCTTTAGTTAAACCATTAAACCTTTATTTGACCTTTATTTAAACATTTATTTGACCTTTAGTTTAACCTTTATCTGACCTGTAGTTAAACCATTAAACCTTTATTTAACCTTTATTTGACTTTTCTTTAACCTTTATTTGACTTTTAGTTAAACTTTTATTTGACTTTTATTTAAACTTTTATTTGACCTTTATTTAAACTTTTATTTGGCCTTTAGTTAAACTTTTATTTGACCTTTAGTTAAACCTTTATCTGACCTGTAGTTAAACCATTAAACCTTTATTTAACCTTTATTTGAACTTTAGTTAAACTTTTCTTGACCTTTATGTAAACTTTTATTTGACCTTTAGTTAAACCTTTATCTGACCTGTAGTT